CACAGCTGCCATAGTTTCTCACTTTAGCGTTACTGTGTCATTTTGGTGTCTTGTGGTTAAGTTTGTAAGGTGGAGGATGCTTTGGTGTTTGAGAAGAAAGTTAACGTAATTGGTAAATTTCAATCTCAAATTCTAATCTGTGCTTATAGAACAATTTTTAATTTTTTTTTAATATATTTTTTATTTTTAGCAAATTCCTCTCCTTCCCCCCACTTCATCTCTCCCTCTCATGACTCCCCACACACCCATCCTGTTCTTTCTTACTAAGGACTTTGCTGCCAGGAGAAATACCATTATGACAGCGATCGTGGCTGCTTTAACTTTCTGAATTTGTTAATACATGTTGTAAGGAGAGAATTACGAGTGCTGTTTGCGGTCATAATGCAGAAGCCAGATGGCATTTGCAGAAGTTTGCACGACACTCCCTTCCTATGCAAAAACAGAGTCACATTACACTTGAGTGGGCAGCGCCTATTTGGCTTCACCCAGTCTCAATTATGTGACTGTTGGAATTAGTAATAATGGATTTATGATGCTTCTCAGATGTTTGGTCAGTACCATATGATGGAACCACACAGGTTGTCAAATGCATTTCTCAGCCCATAAATGCATCAGTATTGTTGCAGTGAAATGAATTCTTACCCACGCTATATGGTACCTGTTTATCTGTAAGTTTTAAGTACAGGTCTAGTCAGCTTTTTGGAAACTTGAAGATGCTGTGCAAAGTTTTTGGTGGTAGGAACATGTGAAAATTAGGTGTAAAAATATCCCAGAATGGTTTTTTCATTCAAAGGTTTTTTTTTGTTTGTTTGTTTTTTCCCCCTCTTGAATTATCTAAGAGTTTGAGTAGCAATCAAGTTTCTGTTGTATCTAAACTTTTCTGAATTTCTTTGAACTTATGCTCTGGTCACAGTGGCTGCAGTGATGGGCAGTGTTGTCTGCATGTGAAATCTTGGAGAGATTTAATAGTCGATATACATGCTTTTGCCACTGGTGGATTTATGGTAATGGCAATTCTGCCCAAGGGTTCTGCATATGTACTGTTCTGAATGTCGATTTGTTACAAACTGATTGCTTGAAGGCAGACTGCCGCTGCAGGCCTCTGATAAAGCAGATGGGATGAGCCCTTCTAAAGTTACAACTTCAGAACTCTTCTAAAACTAGAAGAGAGACTCTGGATGAGATGAATATCTGCATTCTTCAGAAACTTTTTTCCTTTTTTTTTTCTACTTAACTCTTTTTGCAAGAGCATCCCTCTCTTGCACCCCCAACATCACAAGGAACAGAGCAATAAAAGTCCCATTTCTCTTTCACAGTGGGCACATGCCCAAATCATGCCCTAATTCTTACTCCTTTCTTAAGAGCTATTGCAAATAAAAAGCTCTGAATGGAGCAGAAGCTAAAGGGAACATCATACACAGCAGTGTATCCAACTGCAGTTAGCAGCAGCAGATAAAACATATTTGCTTCAATATAGTCTGCTATTTAAAAAAATAATAATAATAATAAAAAAAATCCATTCCCCTGCCACTTGCTGTGACACCTCAAAGAAGGATGTTCTGGCTGATGTTATGTCCTTTGGTTGGCACTGACGTTTTGCTTTCCAGCTGTTCCAGCTGGAAGCGTTTTGTGCAGATACTTTGAGCAGTCATCACTTTTAAAGGTCAGAAATAAAAGACGCAAATGCAGCATTTCTGTAACTATGTCTTTGCTGAGTTGTACACTGCCAGTGAAGGAAATGGAGAGTCATTCTTGAGGGACTTGCAATTCCCTGCACCGGAACCAAGTGTGCTGTTGTAGTCATGAGCATGATTTGTATTGGATGGAAGAAGTACAAAACCGTCCCATCTGAACAGCCTGAGGAACCTGGGGGTCTCCTTTTCTGGGGAAAATGCAGTTCTCAAGCTATTTTTTCATTTGTGACTAGTCAACTTAAGCCCTGACAACTCCTTTTAAGATCTTCACATGGTTCAAAAGCCACAGCAGCTTGCTGTTTGTTCTGTGGCTTGTATGTAGATATTAAAAGTAGTGATCTATGTGCCAACACGTTTTTGCCTTCAATGGAAAGATTCTGATCCTTCAAAGAGGAATTTTTTTTGCCTCTGTTAATGGTGATGTAGTAATGAAGATGGTATAAAAAATAAAACTAGAAAAAAATCTGAATGGAAGGGAATATGCTTAACATCCTCAGGAGGTTGCTGAGTGAATTAGAAAGCCCTGTGGACTTCTCATTAAAAAAAAAAAAAAAAAGGTGCTGGAATGCCTATCATCATGGGAATGCTGTTATGATTTTTTTTTTTTTTTTTAGTTTATTTATAAAGGATTAATGGTTTCCAAAGGACAGTTATTTCTACTACTGTACAAAGTATCCCTGCTGTTTTGGGGAAGGGAGAAAAAATAAAAAGCTTGATAGCTGGTTGACCTTAAAGTTGAATTTGCAATGTTTGGATCTGTTTGAATCTGTCATACACTTTCTTCTACCTTGGACAGGTTGATAAAGTCTGCTTTGGGGATGTTGCAGTAGCTACTCCAACTGGTGTCTTCTGGCTTATAAAAAAAAAAAAAAGTCTTCTCCATTTGCAATGTATTTCCTCTGGTTGTTTCTTTTTATCTTTTTTTTTTTTTTCCTTGTTTTTGCACCCAGGCAGGAGAGAATTCCTGCCTGGATCTTCTCTGCTTCACTGGGCTAAGAAAGACCATTTCATGGTTGTGTGCCCCTCTTTTTGGCCATTTTATTTCCTCTTCTGCATCCTGTAGTGCATTGCCCCTATGAATCTGGTTTGGATAGGCAAGCTTGTGTGTGTGTTTCCAGGGAAGTGTTTTATAATGCTCTGAAAAACCCTTATAATTTACCCTTACCCTTATAACACAACACTTGGAAAATACAAGAATAAAACCTATTTTGAATGAAGCATCAGTTTAAACTGCTATGAATGCATAGCTAAGTGTCCACTCAAATGTAATCAAAACTGGAATGTTTTATGTCATTTCTCAGTAGGATTGGAATGAATGTTGTAATGGTGAAGTTTAGAGGTCAATTGGTGATGTAACTTTAAAGAGGTGTAGAAATGGATTTGATCTGGCTAGGCTTCTGAAGTACAGATTAGTGTGCAATTAAAATTGATTCTACCATATACACTTGTATCTCCTGCTGTTTGGACTTAGCTGCTTTTCAGTGGGTCATCTTGTATGTTGGAATTGTAAGGTTAGGAGCTGCAATTGTCTTCAGATAAGGATATGATTTGTTTAACTGATGACTTCACTGTCTTGTGTTGTTGATGGTGTTTTTTATCATGATGGCTCAAAGATGGCAAAAGTGTCTTTTTACCTGCCTTATAGTGAGGAAAATCAGAGAAAAGAATTTGTCCAAAGTGGTATAGAACTAGCTCTGTTAGAGAGCTGGAGCTTCAGTTGGACATCCCGACCTGCTCCTCTGACTCATTCTCCAGGGAGACCTCATTATGGCCTTCCAGTACTTGAAAGGAGCATATAAACAGGAGGGGGAATGGCTGTTTACAAGGGTGGATAGTGATAGGACAAGGGGGAATGGTTTTAAACTGAGACAAGGGAGGTTTAGGTTAGATATTAGGAGGAAGTTTTTTACACAGAGGGTGGTGACACACTGGAACAGGTTGCCCAAGGACGCTGTGGATGTCCCATCTCTGGAGGCATTCAAGGCCAGGCTGGATGTGGCTCTGGGCAGCCTGGTCTGGTGGTTGGTGATCCTGTACATAGCAGGAAGATTAAAACTAGATGATCTTTGAGGTCCTATTCAACCCAGGCCATTCTGTGATTCTATATGATTCCGTATGATCTTTCACTCTCTGTCTCTCCCTTCTCACCTCCAGCTGCATCCTTACATTTTTCATTTTTTTCTAAGTGATAAATGCTTTCATGTTATCTCAGATTCGTAGATACTTTTCCACTGCTTCCAGGCATTGCGAAAGGCAGGATAGGGAGGTACGAGGATCCTCTCTTCTCCTACCCCAGGGAAGAGATGGAAAATACTGAGGATTTGTCTGCAGTAAAAAAAAAAAAAAATCCTTTAAACGATTTCAGTTACTGAATTACTTCCTTTGCCAAAGAAGTTAAATTACATCTTCATCAAGTTTCTGTTACAATTTGCTGATTAATTCAGTTGAGACAACCAGCACACCTGGCTTTCCACACATTTACGTTTCTTAGTGTACACATACACATGCAGATGCTGGAAAGCATTTATGGTGTGATGGGAGATTTTGTCTGATACTGTTATAATGAGTTTTAAGAATAATAGTGTGCTTGGTTAGGTGGAGACATCTGTAATGTGTTTTTTGAGACAGATGGTGAATAAAATAGGTTTAATTTCAGATGGCAGGAGAAATGAGCTGAAATTGCATGCACTTCTCTTTTCAGTATTTAGTACAAAAATCAGATTGTAATACACCCTGTCTATGTCTCTACATGTTGCAGGACAAGGTATGCAATTGTAAAAACAGGCTTGTAGTAGCTGTAGTCATTTAGTTGCGGTTTAGGGCCATAATTTTTAGTTTAAAACTTTTATTGCATATGGCTCCAAACGCCATATAGAGTTCTAATTCCAGTGATCTGCATAAAGTCTCTGCAACATTTTATTTCGAAGAACAAAGGGAAAGCACAGGTAAGGGTGCAGCTGTGTAACTTCTGAGTGGGAAAAGGTTTCCAGTGCATTTATACTTGTGGATGTATGTGGGGAAAAAAGAAACAATTAGCTACCTTAGTACAAAAACGTGCAAAGAATTTACTGTTTATAGTTACAAATGCTGTTTCAGAGTTGAGAATAACTTTCAGACTCCTTTTATCACACATTAAAAAGCTCAACCTTTTATAGTGCTGTTAATAGAGTTGCAGGTTTTCCTCTCTGCGTCTCAAAGAAAGTCAAGCTACATGCTCTGTCCTAGAGGATAAGAATACCAATGGGAATAAGTTCTCCTTTTATTTAGAGAACTAAGATGTTTGGACTTTTCTTATTGATATTTCAGGACATCCAGGCAGAGATTGATGCCCACAATGACATCTTTAAAAGCATTGATGGAAACAGACAGAAAATGGTGAAAGCCTTAGGAAACTCTGAGGAAGCTGCCCTGCTCCAGCACCGACTTGATGACATGAACCAGCGCTGGAATGATCTGAAGGTGAAGTCAGCTAATATCAGGTAAGTAATTAAAAAATCGTGACATATATGGGGCAGAGCAGCAGCCTTCTAAAAGACTTGAGAAATTTGAGCACAGCATTGAAGTGAAATCTCTGTCTTCTGTAAAGCACCCCTGAGCACTAAGAGGAAGATTTGGTGTACTAACTCACCACGCAGGCTTAACTGCTTGTTTTTCTCACTCCAGAGTTGTGTAGTAGTAACTTGCTAATCTGTGCTTCATTTTCCATAACATATGCTGAATCCTTCCTAATTTTAAATTAATAGCAATGCCAGTGAAGTCATTCTGTGAATTATCTGAATAGAAATCAGGATTTTGTTTTACCGCTGAAAGGGAGGGATACTTCGGTAGGATTTGCATCTTAACTATTTTCATCTGTAATGATAGTAGAATTTTTTGATTGCTACTATTCAATTAAGAAATATTTTAAAATACATATTAGTCAAGCCATTTACAATTTTTGACCCTACCAATGCCAAACTCACTGACTGTCTAAGTGTATTAAAAATCCCTGTAAAAATTTAGATTTGTAAAAATCTTTATGATATCATTTGGGAAGAAGATATTGCCATATTCGTTAATGTGAATTAAGTTCTCTATTAATTTTAATTACAAATAAAAGTATTACTGGAGCTTTTAATCACCACTGCTTCCTTGTTAGTTACAGGAGACTGTTCTTTTAATAGAACAGGACAACATTAAGCATTCATATGAATTTTCCAAAAACCATAAAAATGTACTGAGCTTTGAATTTGTGCACCAGAGTTTGTAAGAGTGAGATAGAGGAAAGGTGGAATTTACTTTTCATCTCGACTTACCTCATCACCAGCTAGCTAAGCAGTTAATTGTAACTGACAGGATTTGCTGAGTAAAAGCCAATAGGCGGAGCTTGAACCAGAGGAATTGAAAAATTTGACGTGAGGGCTAGCAGAGGCTGCAAGAGCTATTAAACTTGGGCTATTATGAACCGTAATCACATATAGGTCAGCGTGAGAGAGAGAATGAGAAGGAAACATGCTCATAAGTTAACGATTTAGTCAACAGCTGCAACTTCTGACAAAAGCACTCCAATTGCTTGGCCTTTCCTGGTGGTGATCATAGTTGGGAGAGAAATTGGTAGCCAGTATGGCCATTATGCATCGCTCGAAGGCCACGTTGTTTAGTTCCAAGGTAGATAAAGCAATTGCACAGTGAACATTCAAAAAAGGTAGATTGTTGTTCAGAAAAATGGGTGTTCTGTCTTTTCTCTTTTGTGTAGATATGGAATGTGAATCCCTCTAGGCAGTATTAACGTTTGCACTGTGTACATTATTACTCTGCTAATACCTGCAATGCTGCAGGGCCATGTGTCAGTGAACTACAAGTAGAAAGCAAGCAGGAAAGAGAATAGTGGAGCAAACAGAAGTGAAATAACCTTTTGAATCTGCCTCCTGTGAAAGGAGTGTAAGATTTCTGAGTTGGTGTATTTTGCCCTGTTTGATTGCTGTTCACTTACCTCTCTCAAGAATGATGACAGCCTTTTCAGGGAAGTAACAAGACCTGGAACTAACATGAATTCAGTGTGTTGATCTGGCTGTTTCCCCTCAAATTCTGTTTTCTTGGTGTACCTTATTTCAAGGACAAATTAAAGAGCAAAACTATAGAAACATCTTGTGAGAGCAGAATATAATTGTCTTAGGGGCTAGAGCTAACAATTGAAAAATGTGATTTTTTAAAATGGATTTTAATTTGAGATATTGCTTCTAAAGTAAGGTGTATCTGTAAGTTTTTTAGAATATTTTCAGCTGTTCTGATTATGGTGGTTTTTAATTGCTGAAAGTACGTCTCTCCCTTAGGGATAGTTTGAGGCTTTTTTCATTGCTTCCATCCTCAGAGCTGATGGTGCTCATTGCTGCACTGTCTTACTTCCCTGCTACTGGAACTAAGGGGGGAATTCCACATTAAAAAAAGCAGAACTCTTGTGACATACTTTTAAATGCATGGAAACTAGTTTAAAAACTGTACTTGTAGTGACCGAGACACCATCCTGAGAGGACTGTACTTCTCCATGAAATTACTCATAGGCTTATTCACGCTTCTTTCTTTTTCTCTCTGTCATGTCGCTCCCAGGAGGAAAACGAAGCTGCATGTTTGCCTTTTAAAGCCAAATTCTTAGGAGAGACTGTTTTCTTCTTGGGTGGGAGGGGATCAGCACTGGGGGGGAGGGCAGAGATAAAAATATGGGAGAAGCAGGGAAGGATTCTCTATATTTAGACCACCCACCAGATATTTTTATTCCATGTGTTCCTTTCTTGCTCAGCAGGAGAAGTGATACCTAAATAGCAGAAACAAAAGCTGAGGAGGTCTCCAGCTGGGGAAGAAGCCTCTCAGGGCCAACAAAAGGGAGGCTGTGTCCCAGTTGCTGTTCTTCTTCAGGATCTTATCCAGTGCAAGCAGAGAAAAATTGCTCTTTAAGACTGCTCTCTCTTTTTATTTCTTTTTTTTTTCATTCACAACCAAGGTTCCCATTAGTTTCTGATAGTGTCTGGTGCTGGGATGTAGTTTTGCTCCAATCAGTACTCAAAATAAAACAATTGTCAGTTACCTGTATTTTTATCAGAACAGATTCTAACCCACCATTGGACCTGGCAGACTATGTATTGGTAAAAGTACTAACTTAAAAACAAGGGCAGAAATCCTTTCCAAACATGGGGAAGCCCAAGAAATGATTCAGAACTCCAGCATAGCTTATTTGCTCTAGATCTGGCCAGTCTGTATAACAAATCTAAATACAGCTTTACATTGAAATACAAATTGTAGCATATTTAGGCTCATTTGCTCCTGTGTAGCATTTGCTTTGAATGTGTTATACTGAACATATGGCTTTTCACTCCTCTGGAGAATTGAATACTTGTGGCTGCTTTTCAACTGCTGCTTGCATGTTGCTTTTATGTTGAGCATTGCTTCTGATGAGATTAGAAGAGTAACAGGAAAAGTCTAGACTGATGTGATGTTTTTCCCTGTTTTTTTTTTCTTCCAACATTTCCAAAAAGATGTTAGCTCACTTTGTGTTCAGAGAGAGGACTTTTTATGCCCTGTTAGTGCAGCCTCTTTCTTCCCCTCCCTCTGACCCTTACTACTCTACCCCTACAAGTTTAGCATGTGCTGGATTTGGTAACTGTGTGCTAGTGATGTTTTGTACTGTCATTGTACTGGCATGTACATAGACACTCAGCTGTAGTAAATTGTGATACTTTTAATTTAGTATTGTATTCCACATCATTTTCATTAATACCACATTTTATTTTATTTTTTACTATTAATATTGTTGCCATGTATGTTAAATTAAGTGGTCTACCCTTAAAGTGTCATTTAGCTAGTGACAGGGGTTTCTTTCTTACAAAATTCCGATCCATTCTGTGTGCAATAATTCTACAATAATGCAATAATTCTAAAACAGAGCAGGAGCCTAGAGAGCGCCGATTTTTAGAGACGAGAGATGCTTGAAGGTACTGGATACAGTGATAAGTCATGATGAATAGATTTCACTATCAAATGCACAGGAGACTATAGATCTACATTTTAAAATTGTCATTGTTGCTAGAAATCCGTGAATACGCTTAATTTTGGTAACAATCTAACAGCAAAGCTATAAATTCAAATGCAAGCCACCTTGGCAGCATGTTTCCTCTGCCTGATTACTAAGGAGTATTACTTTCTTCACTCCCAGAAAGGAGGGCTGGGTCTGTTGAGTATGTAGGACGGGTGGGCAGTGTCTGTTGAACACTTTATAGCTTGATATTTCTGAGGGCATTTTTGGTGGGAAGTGAAGCTAGTTTCGAAAATGAAAAAGTAAATGTTGTATGTGTATGCTGTTGAGAGCATGTGCATCTGGCGACTGCAGGTTGGATTCAGTATTGAGGGAAGGGTCTCAGTGACTGTAACAAGGGAAGACAGGAACAGTGATGAAGGAGAATGTTGGCAGTAGAGCAACACAAGTAGTAGTTCTTATTTTTTCCCTTGTGGTGCTTTCTTAAATGAAGTGAAGGAGAATAGCTTCCTCTTGCTAAAGTTAGTTTAACTTTTGAAAGACTTTTCCCCACCCCCCACCCCCCACCCATACACTCTTATGGACTGCTTTTCTTGTTTCATTTATCACAGTATTCCTGTGAGATCCAAGCATACCCAAACTTAAGTCTGCCTCAAAGTAAACCTTGCAGCTCATTACCCACTTCGTTCCAACTGTTGTCATGTCAGTACCAAACATGCACTCCAATGCCATTTGAGAGAAAAATACAATAGAAGCCAGGTGAATGTTTCAAGATGTGAACTACATTGAATCAGAAAAAAAATAAGACAAAGCTGTTCAAAATAGAAAAGAGAAGACCCAGGAAACAGAATAGTAATGTTTAGTTCACTCATCTGTCAGCAGCAGGGCACAAAGGTGCAGAGCTAGTGTCTATGCTGGAGTGAACTGAGCTCTCTCCATTCTACCACTTGCATGGTGAAAGAAATTGTTGTTTACTGGTATGAGCTAAGTACTTCTAGGTCTCAGATGAGTCTGTAGCATAAAATGACTGGAGTAAATGGGAAATTACAGGCCCTTATCAAAGATTGCATGCAGCTGTGTAGGCACTGCAGGAAGAAGCCATCAGGTCAGTGTGTTTTTGAATATGATAGAAGGGGAGGATATTGTGCAATTTAGGGATTTTGTTGATTTAACTGGGTGACAGATTCACTCTGTATTAATTCTCTCATAATTCATCTACTGAAGGTGATGTATTCAATGATCTTTGCCACTAATGCATTCAGCAACACAGTTAATTTACTGCTGATGGCTTCTGGGAGAGTTTGTTGCTCTTGATGCTGGAGATCCAAGGTCTTGTCATGAAAGTTCAGTTTGGTGGTGCCCTAGCTGACAAAATGAGGCTTGTAGTTTGTGTGCTGTGGTGGAGGTACAGAATAGTATTCAAGGTTTTAGAAAGGTCATATCAAGTACATATTTGTCTGTCTGCATTCCCTCATTTTTCACCTGCTTATAATGTGTTATGTAAATAGTGTGTTATAAATAGATAATATCTATCTGTTTGTTTGTTACCATTTATTGGGTTTTGTACCATTCAGGATATTAAATATGCTTTTATGTTGTTTCACAGGGCTCACTTGGAGGCAAGTGCAGAGAAATGGAACCGGTTGCTGACATCCCTGGAAGAGTTAATCAAATGGCTGAATACTAAAGACGAAGAACTAAAAAAGCAAATGCCCATCGGAGGGGATGTTCCCACCTTACAGCAGCAGTATGATCACTGCAAAGTAAGTTGCATAACTTTTATAGATACATATGCTACTGTGAATAATAGAATGAGTCAAATTTGAATATAGGAGAAGTGATGTGTCTTGATCCCAGTGTTTAATTTCTACCAAAAAAAAACAACCAACCAGCCAAACAAAAAAAACTGGTCCAGATCTCCTTTTACTTCCCTACTTGCCCAGTAAAGCATAAAGAGTGAGATTGCTCTTCACAGTTTTATCAAAAGGACTTCTGGTGCACATGTTCAGTTCAGACACACTTTTGGTGTATTTCCTAATGGTTAAGTGTATTTTGACGACAAAATGTAAGGTGTGTGTCACCAACTCTAATGAGTAATCAAGATAAGATATATTTGCCATTGGACTAACTAATTATACTAAAGCCAATTCCATCCTACTGTCATATTTATTCTGTATGGTGTAGGGAGGGAAAGAGAGCAAATGCGACTTGATATAGCTAAGTGCATAACAACTGTATTCTCCTCCACCAGTGCAATATTAGTATCTTCTCTGCTGTGGTATTTAATAAGGACAAAAACTGAATTTGAGAGAAATACAGAAGAACACCGTGAATAACTACAGAGTAGTCTGTCCTGAGCAGTACTTTTGAGACTTGACTACAAAATAGTCAAGTCTAAGGAATACTTAAGGAAATCTGCTTAAGTTATCCCTTAATTTAGTCTTTTAAAATATTTATTAGCATAAACTCAGGATCTTTGTTTTTTGAGAGTTCATCTCTTTCTATTCATATCCACGTAAGTCATTATGCTCTGTTTGTAGGCACATCTGCTGTGAATGTTTTATAATGATCAAATGATGGATTACCAATGCAGAACAGCAATAAAAGGCAGGAAGAGATCCAAATATGTTTTAAAGGAGGTCAATGAGGGGTGATAGACCTCTACCAGTCATACTCTAAAGGCTTGTTTGTTTCTCTTGCTAGATTACAGTATATGAATGCTACTAACAAATACTGCTGTAGTGTGTCTCATTTGAAGATGTCAATTTGATTTGTAAAAATGCTAGATTTTATATATCCCTTCAAAGCAGAACGACATGGGAGCAAAGATGAGTTATTTGGGTCAATTGTGAACTGCGGTAGTGAGAAGGAAAAAACTTATAGATTGTTTAATCCTTGCACATAGCTTTAAAGAATGAGGATTATTTTATTATACATTGAGGTTAACTTAATATTCTAATATGTGTATTCACGAGCTCTTAGAGATAATTCTTTTATATTTCAAAAAGGCAGTGCTCTTGTGCTGTCATAAAAAGTACTGGATATAGTTGCCCTAAACCAGTACTTAATAAGATCCCCTGCACAAAGATAGTCTGTCCCTTTTTTTGTACACCTGTGGAGGCAAAAGGTCAGTATTCAGTTGCAGATCTATCTCAGGGGATAATTGGACTTTTTTTGTTTTGTTTTTTTTTTTTTTTTTTTTTTTCTGGTAGTTTATTTGTAGGAACAAATTCCTATATTTCACATGATAGTATTGTCATACCAAAGAAGAACTATTAATGTGTGGTCTTTCACTTTCTGTTGAACTTGCTTATTTGTGGTTACCGGAGACAGGGAGCTGGACTGCAGCTGTCCACTGATTTGATTCTGCATGGCAGAGCTTCACACTGTTTTTGAGCAGGAACTGTCTGTTCCTCACTGAAGTGATGGTTTGAGTAACTACACCAGGGTGAAAAGCTGGTTTTTTTTTCATGTGGAAAGTGGAAACTGAAGGAGGGAGGAAAAAAAAAAAGACCTCTGTAGGTTCTCCTGCCCCTTTCTCTCTGCATTATTTAACATCTGTCCAGATATGGAATAAAACTGTCTTTGTATTACAGAATTTTTTTGTCTTTTCAAAATCTACTGAATTCTTTTTAAAAATAACTTTCTGATTCCACTCTGCCGGTCACTCTGTGCCTTGAGTTGAGGTCACTTGCACTGCATTGCATTAAGATGCTGCTTCCGCCATTTGTGCCCTGTGTTAAGCTGAAACTTAATCAGATAAATATTTCAGATGTATTACTTGATTTCTCTCACTCTCAAGGATTCTCCTATTATTCCACCTGTCATCACTGACTATTCAGATGTTACATTAAATGCCACATTTCTTTGCCACACTTCTTCAAGAATTAAGCCTGCTAGGCATTTCACATTACCTGTAAGATTTATTTTTTATCAACCTCATACTTTTTATAACCTCATCTTAAGCTTCAGCAGCACTTGTCAGCTGGTGCCTCTCTGCACAAGGCTTGGGTGCTTCTGCTCTCCTATTTCCTTTATTTTCACATCTGAGTGATGCTTTGAAATTGTCCTTGTGCAAATTGAGCAGTTCAATACAGTATTTTATCTCCACTTCTCTGTGATCCCTTTGCTCTTATTTCTGCTTGCTCACCTGATCTTGTCCTTGCTGGTACTTCAAAATGTAAGTGGCAAAATATTCACTGAGCTCTTTAGAATGGGGGCCCATGATATTATCATTCCTGTCCTTCATTTTTTAGGATCCTCAATCCTTCTCATCTTAGCATTGCTTTTTGACCCTAATTACTTGATAGTCATTCTTATTAACCTACAGTTTTTTCCCCTCAGTTACATGAAACTGTCTTTCTTGCTTCAGTTTAATGCTACTAACCTCTGTTAGCATCTCCCCCACTCACTGCTGGGCTTCAGCAGCATTAGATAAATAAGTACAGTATTATGTGACAGTTTGACTTAGCTCTCATTGTTTCTGTGCTACTAAAGTCTGTTTGGACAGGAGGAATAAAATGATTTGCAATTTTTAAGCTTGTTTTTGTTTTTAATAACAATAATTCTTCTATGCTTTAAAAATAAACATTACCCACATCAATGTTGAATCAGATTTAGCTCATATTTTCCAGATGGAGAGAAATATTTCAGAGGGTTGCAAATATTTTTAAATATTACACTAATTTTTATGCTGTTCTCACACGAACTTCCATGACCCGTAGCAGCTCACAGTCTTATCACATACCAAATTCAAAGTGCAGTCAAACAGTAAGCACATCCTGTCTGGGTGCTGAGCTGTGCTCTTTATCTTACAGGGGGAAGGCAGGATTCAGTGAAGAACCTTAAATTTCATAATTTTAACTATTTTCAAGATTTCTTTGTCTTTGAGAGTGGTCTGTGGTGATAGATCTGAGAACGGTGGAAAAAATCCAGAAGTGCTTAGTATAAAAGTGTTGGGACAGTGTGTGCAAGTTTTTGAACTCAAATGCTTCAGAATATTCATGCCCTCAAAGTATAGAAAACACAGTTGCAAAGGTGCTGACACAGGCAGTGATCTGCAGGGAGTGGCTGCCTTTTCTGAGTTGATTACCAATCAATCACTTTAATTCCTGTTTCTCACTTTTGCTTAACCTTACCAACTCAGTTTTTTCCTTTCATTCTGTTCTTTCACAGTTTTCCATGTGAATATTCACATAGTAATGCAAAACTGTTTTTATCTACTGCCAGAATAGAAGTTGCCAAAAACAAACAAACCAAAAAGCCTCAACAAACTCCAAACAACAGATAAACAAAGAACCTCCAAAATAATCTTATCACAGAGATGCTTAACTTAGCTTCCTTTGAGTTGGGAATTGAATGAATTGGCCAAGGACCTCTGATTGTTTGAATTGTAACGTTATGTCTGTCGGTAGGTCATTAATATTTCAGATACTCATCAAACTTTTGGAGTTGCTGTCAGTGTTTCAATTTCATGTTTCAAATTTGGTTTGTTAAAGCAGTCAAATACTCAAAGTTGAACGTACTTGTTTTATTGAGCTACTTCCACTTCATCAAAAATGTTAGCATAGCAAACTGGAAAATACTTCCTACTGGTTTTGTCCCTTCAGGATGCCTATAACTCCATTGTTCTCTTTACTAGCAGGAAAACACTGGAACAGGCTACCCAGGGAGGTTGTGGATTCTCCTTCTCTGGAGTTATTCAAGATCTGCCTGCATACCTACCTGTGCAGCCTGCTGCAGGGGGCCTGTTTTGAAGGAAGGCTGGACTTGATGATCTCTGGAGGTTCCTTCCAGCCCCTACAATTCTATGATTCTGTGGTTCTGTAACGTTAACTTTTTCTATAAGACATGTCCCTTTTACCATTCAGTGGGTTGTGAGTAAGGTGGATCTTTGGAATTTCAGTGAATAGGGCACTCCCTGCTCTTAAGTGATCACCAGAGTGACAGAGTCAGGCAGTGACCCAGAGAAACAATACGAGATAATTTATTGAGCTTTCTAACAACTAATCAACTTCTTTGAGGCAAAATGAGGCAATTTTCCTGCAATTAGTAAGCAACTACTTTAAAGCAAATGTAGTCAATGGCTACTTGAAGAAAAGCAGTTAAAAGAAAACCTTGAGGAAAAAGGAGAGAGAGAAACAGAGATTTAGAAGTAGAGGTATTTCCCCACTCCTGGATCTGGCATTGTCCTGAGTCTGTGGTCTTCGTTCATGAGTGGTGGATGGACAAATGTAAATGTGCATGTTCACCCTTATGTAGTCCAGTTGGTCTGAGACTGCCCTTTGGTGTGGCACCCTACTTGTGTCTAGAAGACTTGAAAGTCTTTAATGAGAGCCTTTGGTGGTTGTGCACCCCTCCTCCCTTTTCTGATGTTTGCCTGCTGTGAGCAGCCATGAGAAGAAGGGAAGATAAACAGTCTATCACTCTGCAAGGGCAGATCCCATAGATCTTACAACTTCCAACTTGTGTTTTTAAGACTCTGTGCTTTCATTCTCAGTCATTAAAGGCTAGTTGGTTGAATCAGCAAGTTCCATTCTGTGAGGCTCCATTCTTTCTGTCTAGTTTTTTGAGTCAACAGACCCATAGTAGACTCAGGCATTGCCTGACTGATTTAGGGGAATGGGGATTAGCCTTAAAGTATTTCCTGTTTAATTATTCTAGATTTATTTTTCTTGCCTACTTTCCATATTAAAATTTGCTTCCATTTTTTTTTTTGTTAAAAATTTCTAACAAAAAATGATCAGTATTATATCATTATTGT